TAACACATTTGCATAATTCCCGCCTATGTTCTACGTTGGCCGGCAGCGAGCAACTTGACAGCGCCCACAAACACGTAATTTTACTGACGACTGCTTCTCTAATCTCGAGGAGTTAAAAAAAAAAATCTCGGGGAGTTGATGGCTCTTTACCCTGTTTATTTGGACCAGCTGGCTCCACTGAATCACAAGTATGATAAATAATAGATGTTTATATTTTCTATCGAGCGTTCAAAATACGGAACTATGGCAATGGGCGTATCGTTTTTGAGACGCGCTGTACGTGGTAGACCAATCACAAAAGACTGGGCCATCTGACCAATCAGAGTCTGTTTTTGGAGTTTTGGAGAGACTGAATCTTAGAACTGCTTTGAACGAATCGTTTGAGAATTGCTGGAAAATGAGGTGATATTAAATGCATATTTTGAGAAAACTAAAGCGTTTTTTGACCTTGCATGCATGTAATCCTATTGTAGGAGACTCCCAAAACAATATTAGGAACCTTAAAAATGGCATAATAGGGGCACTTTAAATAATCCTGAAAAAAGTAAAAGTTTCCACAATAATATGAAGCAGCACAACTGTTCTCAACATTGATAAAATAAGAGATATTTCTTGAGCAGCAAATAAGCATATTAGAATGATTTCTGAAGGATCATGTGACACTAAAGACTGGAGAAATGATGCTGAAAATTCAGTTTTGCATCACAGGAATAAATTACATTTTAAAAATATATTCATTTAGAAAACTATTTTAAAACTATTTTTAAAATTAGTTATGTTAAATTGTAATTGTATTTCACAATATTACTGTTTTTATTTTTGGTCAAATAAATGCAGCCTTGGTCAGCATAAGAGACTTCATTTAAAAATTAAAAATATCTTTCCGACCTCAAAACTGTTCCTTGCACAAGTCAACAAATGCATCAATCAAATCAATCAATCAATCCGGTAATGGCCAGCTGACTGTATGTTACCGCACTTATTATATAGATACTTACCAAACAAATAAATAAATGGAATGAAATATTGATTTGAGCTCAAATATTTTTATTAGGTGAGAAGAGGAGGCTGTGAATTGATTTGATAGTCATGAAACTAGCACACTTTAGGTTGCCTGGGACAAGTCAATTATTATAAGTTTAGTGTTCATACAAAATAAGTAACACTTTATTTTGATGGTCCCTTTTGAACATTCTGTTGACAGTAAGTAATGTTGCACCTACATGTGTACTAACTCTCATCAGAGTATTAGTAGACTGTTTGCTTAATATCTGCTAACTCTTCATTGTCATGGTCTCCCAACAGACACTGACTATAAGTAACTTTGCAAGTACATACCAACTTATTCCAACCCTACTAATACTGTACTAATACTCTAATGAGAGTTAGTGGACATGTAGGTGCTACATTACTTATAGTTAACAGAATGTGTTAAAGGGACCATCAAAATAAAGTGAAACCCAAAATGATTTGATGGCAGTATGCAACGATTAGCATATATAATGTATAAGGAGCTAAAAAAGTGTATTATTTTACAGAGTCAGTTTAAGTCCAGCATACAAATCAACAGAAGCATTCAACAGCTACCTTCTGAAATGCATTTCTCCCCAATCTTTTATGACAGTTGATGTTGTGATGTTTCACAGTGAGCTAATCCTTTCTTAACACACTTGCAGCCGCGCACAGAGCAACAGAGAGAACATAGGAAATGATAACACCCTTTTCTACACACCTGCTTGGTTTGATTTTCTGCCACTGGCGATTTTTAAGGCTTTTTCCCGATGCAGACACATAACCGTGGGTGTATTTAGTAGAGTCAACATAAAATGGAGTTTGCAACACAATTTTACTTCCATAATATGGCGTATTTCCAATTGAAGCAGGATGATCAACTGCACAAATTACAATGATAGCTGTGTTTGTGTGTGTGAGAGGGAAAAACTTTGGTGTGAAATACTGATTGCACAGGAGTGTAAGCATTAATCTCAGAGGTAGTGTGACTGCAGAGAAGAGCATGGCCTAATCCTTAATCTCTAATCCTAGTTTCTAGATTCCAATTCTCACAGAAGACCTACATATACCCAAGATCTATCATTCAGCCCAGGTCAAACATAAACCCTACTTTCACACCACACATTGTCCTGTTATAATCTACAACACTACGACTTCTGCTTCTTCTTTTTGTTTTTCTTTTTTCTTCTTAGTAGTAGTAGTAGAAGTAGTAATCCTAAAACTTTTACAAGTATTAATTTAACAAAGCTCCTAGCATTCCAATGTTATATTGTATGCTATTTCAATCAAATCAAGGTTGGTTAACTGATTTTTATATATATAGTTTTAATCTGAAAAATGTTCTCCTTTGTTTGTGTGTAGTTCAGTCCATATGGAGGAGTCATCTGTGATGCAGGGTGCTCAAGGATTTCTGGTTCAGGACTGGCCCACCGTCTCTAGCGCTCCTGGTAAGATATCGAATCTAAACTCTCTATGGCAAGCATTGCATTAACTAAATTGAAATTTCTGATGATCTGGGCTGCTATCCACATTAATTGTATAGCTCTATACTCAACTCATGTGTTTTTTTATTTTTATTTCTCCCAAGGAATTTTTTCAGATACATCTTTGTCCAGGTTGATACTTAAATGAAACATAACTGAAAACCCTTATTAAATCTTCAGATCTAGAGCAACCACTGAGCAATACAATTTTCCTCTGGGTGTTCTGGCAGGACTGTAACACTGTCTTTTACAGTTTCACTGGTATTACCCCTCAGGACCATCTATCACGATCAACCCCTGTCCCAATCTAGACTATCACTCTCTTCTGTCTCACATCATTCTTACACTTGCATGCTTCTTTCCCTGCAGTCTCCTCTGCGATGGCCTCTTTTGCTGAGCCGAGCTGCTGCAGTCATGCAGGATACAAGGAATATGACCTACATGAGGCTTCTTTAAGAAACCTAGCTGAGTAGCTTAGGGAGCAACTCAGAAACCACTGTAATACATTAGTGATACCACAATCCGCTTTTTTGTGTTGAACAGTAACAGTAAATATGAATTCACAATGGCAGCAACCCACTCAAAAATTGTTAATGTACCCAAAATTAAGATTTATCATAATTTGCTCACCCTCATGTTGGAAAGTGGATTGTGATACATCATATAAATACACCATATGAAAGCTTTGTGTGAGGATTGAAATTTGAGATCTGCACTGGAGGGAAAAATGATCTGTAAATAATGACATTAATTTGGGGTTTTATAGGAATACAATTGGGGTCTTCTGGTAATGTATAGTGGATAAACTACTGTTATTGCACTTTTTCTGTTTTTGGAGCTTGGTGGTATAACACTATATAACTATATTACTCTCCACTTTCATTGTGTAAAAAATAAGAGAGTTTACATTTTTATTTAGACTTTATGTTTCATGTCTCATTTCGTGTTTCATGGAATAAAGACATCAATACAAAGTTAAAACAACGCAAGGGTGAGTAAAAGATGCAACATTTTAATTTCTGGGTGAACTATTCCTTTAAAACTGCTATTGTACATATTGTACATTTTCCCACAGTCTGATTACAATGCTTTAGGCTTTTGTTTGTAGCCATATAATATTGATGTGGTCTATTGTAGAACATTATGATGAGCAAATAAACACCCAGTTACACAAATGTGATGAATTTTAGTATTACATCAAAACATACTTGCTCTTGTGGCAGCGGCTATGTGAAATCTTCTTGTAAATACCATCAATTTGACATACATGAGATGAAATCAGCAATAAACCTCTCTACCGTTTTGTTTGGGTTCATTTCCTGGGTCACAAGGTCATAGGTAGGAACCCGGATACAATTAATGAATATTTAATTTCCTAATTAACTACTCGTGAGGGTTACGGATGTCTACGTTGAGGCCCGACCCTCTTGGATGGAATGATGATGTGACTTCTGGAGGTGTTCGAAATAATGAAAGTAATTTAGTTTCAATAAGATGAAAGGGAGAGAAGGAGGGAGAGAGGACAAAACGGGTGCAATTACTCGGGTGATGAAAGAGCAATTTGTTTCTAATTAAGTCTTTGATGATGACTGCAAAATCAAAGACTGGAAATGAATTAAATAAGCCTCTTTAGATTTTAGCTTTCTCTCTGTCTCCATCTTTCTTTCTTTCTTTCAGTGTTCAACTGTCTTGTTTGCAAATCTTTCACAAGCCGCCAAGTCTGAGATGCTGCTTAGCTTTTTAAAACATTAGTTCAGCCAAAAATGAAAATAATATATATCATTTAATGTTCAACATTGTTCCCGGGTCACAAGGTCATAGGTAGGAACCCGGATACAATTAATGAATATTTAATTTCCTAATTAACTACTCGTGAGGGTTACGGATGTCTACGTTGAGGCCCGACCCTCTTGGATGGAATGATGATGTGACTTCTGGAGGTGTTCGAAATAATGAAAGTAATTTAGTTTCAATAAGATGAAAGGGAGAGAAGGAGGGAGAGAGGACAGGGTGGGTGCAATTACTCGGGTGATGAAAGAGCAATTTGTTTCTAATTAAGTCTTTGATGATGACTGCAAAATCAAAGACTGGAAATGAATTAAATAAGCCTCTTTAGATTTTAGCTTTCTCTCTGTCTCCATCTTTCTTTCTTTCTTTCTTTCTTTCAGTGTTCAACTGTCTTGTTTGCAAATCTTTCACCAGCCGCCAAGTCTGAGATGCTGCTTAGCTTTTTAAAACATTAGTTCAGCCAAAAATGAAAATAATATATATCATTTAATGTTCAAATGTCATTGTTCCCAACTTTCTTTCTTCCATAAAACTCTAAGAATAAATGCAGCAAACTTTTAATTCTGTCTATTTAGCTCCTTAAAGAAATTATAAGTGTATTCCATACTATTCTTTCTCTATATTATATCTTCTGAAGCTATATGATATCTTTGTGTGGTGAAACCGACTAAAACAGAGATTGACTGAAATGTTTCTCACTGCTGTAATCCGTAGGCCTGTATATAATATGCACTCATGTTCAAGCCTGTTCAAGAATGTTTATCAGTCATGTAAAAAATAAAAACGAGTAATGTCTGGCATCAAATATGTTAAAATGCCTGTGGGCTGAATTAAATTTGAAGGATACTGCAAAAATTACAGAGGATAATGAAATACGTCTCAGTCAGCTGTAGAATGTACACAAGTCATTTCAACTTAAATTATATTGATGTGACTTAAAAAAATTGAATTGAATCTTATAAAACTTAAAAATGAATTTGATATTGTTTAAATTATTTTGAGTCAAAGTCATGAAAAAAAAACATGTTGCCATGATTCATTTATCATTTTTTTTTTTTTTTTACAGTGTTTAGTGTATATACCATATGGACCACTTTTATTGTGTTTGCTGAGGTTTGGTGCTTGACAGACGGACAGAGAGCTTGATCAGTAAAGTATGGCATTTAGATTTTTGGCTGAACCAACCTTTTAAGACAGCAGAAGATGAGAACAGCTAAAGATATGACTTAGAATCAGACAACACCATCCATTTTGTTATCAGCAGCAAGGGAATCGGCAGTTTAAATGGTAATGTGAATGTCAGTCAGTTGGTCTGTGGTGGTGTTAAGTAGTGCTGGTTTGTTTTAGGTTCTGCATTTTAATGAGCTTCATTTTAGCTTTTGCGTGCAAAACACTGGAGAAGCCAACGCCCCTGTCTCTCTCTCTGTCTCTTTGTTGTGTGTGAAACAGATGGGCAAAACTACCAAAGCGTAGATCTACAGAATTAAAGTAATGAAAATAGGATAAAGCATTTCTGTCTCACTCTCGTTTTGTTTTTGTGTCTGTCCCATTTTCTGTCTTGTTGTTTTTTTCTGAAATGGGATAAAATGTTAGAGTGTTTAAAAGAGAAACAGTGTGACAGAGGCAGAGGGCAGGTAGACAGCCTAAGGGAAAGAGGGATAGAGAGAGTGACAATGAGGGGAAAAAAAGGTGACCGAGGGGGAGAGTGAAAGAAAACAGAGATGTAGAGAGGAGGGGGCTGTGACTGCCTCTGTTGCTAGGGGAGAGAAGTATTTGACCATTAGAGAGAGAGCGTTCTGTATTAGTTTCCATCAGTGTCTCTGCCACAGCCAGATTTCACTGAAGGAGGCAGTTTCCACGGCAACCATTCATACCACGAACAGGGTGCTGGAAGAATAGAGGGAGGGTGAGAGAGAAACAAGTGAAGGAGAAATGCAAAATGGAGAGAGAAAGAGAGGAGAGTGGCTGAATGAGAGAGTTCACAAATTCGCCTGCCCATTCAGCCCTGCCAGGTAATTGTAAAACGAACTTGGCTTGCTGTCCGTGAAGGAGGCTCGAAACCCGAGGCTCGGCTTGAGCTCCGAGTAAGAAACCCCCCCTATGATGATACGGTGTGGATGAAAGAGAAGGGATTTAAAGGAGGAGAAGGGGTGGTGGAGGGATGCCGGAAGAATATTCGCTTTGACGGAACAATGACTGCTGCTTATATACGGTCGAAACGATGATTGGCAGGACTGGTTGATTAGACTCCTCCCGAACCTGCGTTGCGAACTTCATTTAACAGAACGCCATATAAAATAAAACAAATGGATAAAACTGTGCATGTAAGAGGAAGGAGGAAGTTTAGAGGGATACGGACAGGTGAAATGGGGACAGATGGATGAGAAAATAGAGAAATATGAGAGTTTATAATGCTTTGGTAATACTTTTGTCATCTCAGTAAAGCTTTTTGAATCGAGAGAAAGATATTTTTCTACTGTGAATGCGATTGTTGGGTTATAGCAGGTTGGGTGAAGATGGATGAATGGAGAGATAAATGGATGGGTGGATGAGTGTGACCTATCCTGATCTGCCTGTTTAAAGATCATCTCTACAGGTGGGCCAACCTGCACAGCCCACAGGCTCTCATATCAGCTACAATGCCATATGGCACATAGAAACACTTGCCCTCAATGCAACGCACATTCATACTCACAAACTGACACAAATGCCAACATGCATGATTTTTTTATCGACAACAAGCTAGTTCAAAATTGAATACAAAAAGAGTGTAAATAAAGACAACAGTCAGAGGTATCAAGAGACAAAAACTAGTATAGCTGACAAATCAATAATGTCAACAGGTCTCCCTGATTTCCAGTGATTTTGTAGCAATTTTATAATTTTGGATTTAGCACTCACTTTAGTCAGTCAGTGAGACAGAGGAAAGGCTGTGCAGGAGGGTGCGAGTGTGTTTGTGTGTTGTAGGTCTAGTGGAATTTTCCAGAACACGCCAGGGGCTTTAGTCAGCTCAAGAGGGTAAACTGAGGACAATCGCTCTCTTTCTTTCTATGTCAGTGTTTGTCTCCATGTCTTTTTTTTTTTAGGTTTTGAGACATGAGGTTGAGATTGTTTGATTTATGCATCTATGCTTTTATTTATGCATTTATTTATGCTTTTGTCTACGCTTTTACTTGTGCATTGATGTGTTTGTGTGTGTTTCCCTGACTTTAATGGAAAACAGAGTTATTGAAAATTACAGCATTATTCTCAAAACATGCAGTACTATTACTACACAGAGCAGAACTATCCTTAATACACACATGCACACAACACACACACATGCACTGCAGTCTTGGCAGGCTCATGAGAAAGCTTGTGGTGCCATCTGGCACATATTTTATCAGGATTACTAGAGCCTGACGTACCAAGGTGTGCTGCATACACATACACACACGGAGACACATGCAACAGTGTAATTATGTTTATTGTACACAGACAATCAGTACCACATGCACATATCTAATGAATATTGTATGCCCACAAATCCTTTATTATTCGCACACACAGCTAATGAAAGTTAATCAAATTTTCTGTTAAATATTTAATGTGAAAGCATGCAATTTACATACATGGACATTAAATAACAAATTGTGAACTTTGATTGGTAAATAGATTGAGCTGCAAAACATATGTACTGTAATCAGCCAATTTTCTGTGCTTCATGCAGCAAAACACAAATCTGCTGTCATCTGCTGTTACACACGCACACATACATACACAGTGCTTCAAAAGCGGTGTAGTCTCATCTAAACAAACCCATAATTCCTTGGCTCTGCAGTGGTGCTCAGAAATCTGCTCCTTCAGGAGTTTAGCATTGGAGTTTGGCTCATATTTCATCCTCAGACTGCCCTTCCTCACCTCCTCTTCTGCATTATATAAGACGGCACTCCACTCCTCCTTGAGAAAGGAGACAGATACAGAGATATACAGTGGGTACGGAAAGTATTCAGACCCCCTTAAATTTACTAAATACTGAGCAATGGGTCTGAATACTTAGGACCATGTGATTTTTCAGTTTTTCTTTTTTAATAAATCTGCAAAAATGTCAACAATTCTGTGTTTTTCTGTCAATATGGGGTGCTGTGTGTACATTAATGAGGAAAAAAAATTAACTTAAATGATTTTAGCAAATGGCTGCAATATAACAAAGAGTGAAAAATTTAAGGGGGTCTGAATACTTTCCGTACCCACTGTATAGAGAGTAGATGGGAGGGGGTCGGCAGACTCATGTTGTTTTCTTAATGATGAGACGATTCGATTTTCTCCCCATCATCTTTTTATGAGCTAGATGTTTCACTGGCCATAATAATCATGCCCTTGTCATGCAGCTTATTAAACCTTTGCCATTATCTGCCAGCCAGACGTGTGTGTCTGTTTAAAGACTGCATTACACGAAAGGTCAAGGCAAGGTGGAGATATGCGGAGGATGTTGCTGTCAGTGTAAATGTGTTGGGAAATTACTCTGAATCTGTATTTTGCAAAGATACAAGCTACTCACAGTTTAAAACAGTTAAAGCAGTCTGTAGAATAATGCAGAAATAATGACTTCTTTTTTAAAACGTTATCCCATCAAAGTCCTGCCCAGTTTTTGAAATGTTTAATTTGACAGTTTTGAAACCAATGTAAATGTAGATAACTTAATAGCATTGCTACTTTTAGCTAGTTACTCCCTAGCACTAGTGAATTTTATGCCTTATGCTGCCAGAATGATGAGATAAACAGAATGGGAGGGCATGGAGAGAGGAAGATTAGACGTGATAAAAGAATATGAGCAAGAGGGAGAAGAGAGAAAACAAAGCATTTGGGCGTTTAGTTGTTTTGTTACTGAGGGATTTGGAAGGGTAGTCAGTTCCCTGAGGACTCATAATGGATGCTGCCGGTTTCTCTCTCTCTCATTTCACACTAACAATCCTGAATACAGACCTTCTTTCACTTACAGATATCATAGTCAATTTTTCAGAGGTTGTAATCCATCTTAATCTTCACCGCAACATAAGCTATAGACAAAAGGCAAAGTGCAAACAAAGACTTGCACACAGATATGATGCCAAAGGTGTCTGTATTAAATTAAGTGATGTTGTGGTGATCCAGTGTCATTATAAATGAGATTACTTGCTCATCAGACAGAGAGAGAGAGAGATTTTCAGCACTGCACAGGGGATGTCAAACATAGATCAGGCAAGCTACCACAGTAATTTACATTTAAAGACATAAGTACATTACATTGCACATTTACATTACATGAGTACATTATATTCTTTCCTAATGCTTTCATTACACACATTGACTGTCAAATAATGCTGTTTTCATTTCTGTTTTTGCTAATTGTCATGTGATATTATTATAGATTGTAATAGATGGTCTCTTTTTCTCTCATAGATAATGAGGGTGGAGAGGTCTCTCCCCCCTTAGGTGCTGGAGTGGACAGCAACAGTTGGCATTTTCGATACGGGCCGGGTCCGGGAGGCCCTCCACATCTGAAACCCGGTGAGGTTCCTCCTGAAGCCTTCATCATCCCTGGTTCTCCGGCCATTATTTCCATCAGACAAGGACAAGACGGCGATGACAAGGGCGACTTTATTACCTTTGGAAAAAAGGAGGAGGCCAAGAAGAAGAAGAAAAAGAAGAAGGAGAAGAAGGATAAGCGGGAGAAAGGAAAAGATGATGATGATTAGAGCGACAGAGGAAAGAGTTAAAGAAAGAGCTGATTTTTTTCTAAGACAGAAGTCTCAACGAAAGTCTGTAGAACAAAACATGTTTTTATTAATCCTAAAATCCATATTTGGGGCTCAAGCAAACATTTTTTGTTGGATTTAACTGAAAAAATTGGGAGTGATTTTCTGTCACATCCGATCTCTTTCGGCCTTTTAATTAAGAAATTGATTAATCTCGCCTTGATGAGTTGTTACGTGATTGATTAATATTCTCCCATGCCTCACCCACTATTCCGCATAAAATGTCCTTCAGACTCATGTTGGTACATCTGTCTTATTCATACTCTTGGTTTTTGTTTTCCAGTCTTTTTGATAGGGAGACAAAATCTGATTGTTTGTAAGCTGTGTGCTGCTTCACTTGTGCTATCGTGGTAAAATGGAGAAAAAAATAAGAGGGATTCAAAATTGAGTTAAGTTAGACATTATGGAAGCAGGACACACACTGGTGTAAATATGCAGTTTGGGCACCGCTGTATGTAAAGCAGTGAAGACGCTAAATTAACGCTTTTGCTCGTTCACTTCTCCTGGTGTGGGATGGAAGAAACATCCTTTAAAAAATATACACTGAAACATTTTCACTTATAAAAATCTCAAATCCTGAACAAATGGGGGGAAACAAACAGTGTTTTAACAAAAAAAACAAAAAAAAGTACACCGAGTGATGGAATGCTCTTTTGTTTTGTTGCTTTAATTTTGTTACCAGCAAATGTTCTCCAAGGCATAGCATATACGTGAGAAAGTAGTCCCATATATACACGCATACACATATGTAGACACACAGATTTAGTAAACAGGGTCAAAAATCAGTCCATCTCTATAGCAACTCCCAAAACTTCTGCTCTGAAATGTTTCTAACCTGGTTGGCCTTTTGATTAACCAGCAGTTGGACAGGATCGCTCACAAGTCAATATCATGTAAAGCTCATGAGAAATCAGCTCTTCAGGAGCCTGGTTATGTGCTCTGTTGTTAAAGGGATGACTGAGAGAATGTTTATGCATTATGAACAGTATTACTGTTGATTCACCAAACCTTAAACACCTTCGACCCCATAAACTATCCTTAAATATCCTCTGTAGAAAAGGCTTAGGGGTTATGCCATGAATTTTTCTGTGGTGTTGCCTCATACCTGTAGTTTCCCCACTGTCCTTGACCCTGTCATCCCAACCATAATTTTGTGCCTGCTTTCTCAGCTCAGTATGTCATACACGAAACCTAGTCGCCTCCTTTCTGCTTGCTGTCTGGAGGGCCAACACACCCCAAGAGCAAAGAACACAACATATTAGCTAGGGGTTTTCAAATTTGAAGGGTAGGGGTTTTTTTGTGCACAGTTTTTATAAGCTTTAAGTGAACTTTATTGCTACTGTACAGAGCTTCTGTTTGTCTGTCTCTTTCTTGATCTCTGCTGGATAGGCTAGCTCTAGACATTGTGGTGTACTCATGTAGTATGGAGAAATGCAGACGACGCCTGTCAAATCCCCCCCCCCCCAGACGTGAAGACAGATGTGTGGCTTAGGCAAGGGGTGGAGATTAGTAGAGAAGAACTTTGGGGTGAAAATAGTGGCTTGCCAGTTTGATACCATGTTGAAGGTGAAGTGTGTAATTTTTGTGCCATTAGCAGCACCAAACAGAATTTTGCCCCGTCTGCCTTTATTCGATCCAGCCATTGGTTTTGAGCTGTGTCAGGCTGATTGAGTTGCTCAAACAAACAGAGCAAGGTTTTCAAAGACACATCCAGTGTTTACACTTTAAGAAAGTATCTAAACCTCAAAAAAATACACAAATCATCTGTACATTGTTCTAAAAACAATCAGGTGTTATTCATCTGTGATATCAATAATACACTACAAAGACAAGACTGTTGTCTCCACCCCATGCCTTCTAGCGTCTGATTACAGTGACACGTCTATGTTCTGATGCTATTGGTTCCCTCACTTGCCTGCCTACCTTGTTGCCACACACCCAAAAACGTCTCAAACCGATGTCACAATTACTCAAACGTGACTGCTGCATGACCTTACCAGAAAGAAAACACTTACTATATATATATATATATATGAATATAGATATAGATGGCTATGATTTTATTATTTTTGTTTATAGTTTTTATTCATTATTCACACGAGAGATTTGTGTATGTACCGTCTCTGAGCCTTTTGCATACTGACACCTCTGCTCCGACTTACAGTGGACAGTTATGACGTTACTAAACCTTGGTATTTGTAAATGCTCTATAGTGTGATGCCCTGAAGCTCTTGGTTTTATCCTATTCTTTTTATTTTTGTTTATGAGAAAAAACAAAACAAAACAAAAAAACGTTTGTGTTTGGCTTTGACATACTGATCAAACTAGCACTGTATATTGTAGCTAAATTATGTATGATGATTCTATCCCTACCCTTTCACTTCTTTGACAAGGAAATAAAATTAAAAAAAAACAGGAAAAATCATCCTGATGTAAAATACAATATATGTAGTGTATGCTTGTATCTAGTGAGCTTTCATGCTGTCATTCTTTCTTATTGTCTGGTGGTGATCAGTAGGTGGCGCTGTGCTGTCCAACTGAATGGCGCTCATCTGGTGTAAAACCCTCTTTTTTGTACACCTGCTCATCAATATGTGATGGTGAATTAGTGACCTTCATTCCATTCTTATTTTCTCTTCTTTATTTATTTATTTTTTTTTCATTATGATGGAAAAGTGGTAATGTGTTTTGTTTATAAATCACAAAATAAATAAACTTTTCTTTCTTAAGAATGTGACATATTGTCAGTGTTTCTGTGTACATGAGCCAATTGTTTATTGTTGTTTTGGTGTACAATACAATCTAGAACCACACTATAAAGCAGAACTTTTACTGCAAGGAAGTCTGGAGAAGCAAGAGAGAGATAGAGAGAGAAATAAATAAAACTGCTTGCTCTGACCTGATATTTGGGTCATTTTATAACTGAGGTTACATTTCATGTCCACTGATGATAATGAAATACTTTTTCTGACAATTTTCTTCAGAAATAGATTTTATCCATTAAGAGAATACATATTATAATCTCACACATATATTTTGTGGACCCTGTTTATCGGTTTGCTTGAAATTGCCTCTATGTCCTTTAAATTACAGAATTCAAAATAATGAATAAAAAAAATTTAAAGTAGAGATTATCTATATTAAATTCATTTTTAAACATTTATTATCTAAATACATTAGAAAAGTAGACAGAGTTTAAATTAATTAATCTTTCAAATAAGAAAATATTTCATTGTACTCATGTCAACAAAACTTGTCAAAACAAACACACCCCTGTAAACTAAAAAAAAAATGGTTTATCACAAAACCATGTGACCAGCATCATGTGATGTCATTTTCTTCTGTGGTGGACATTTTGAACACATTATGGAAAATGTGATCTTAGTTTTTTTCCTGCATTTAATCTCCAATGATCTATATTGTCAAGGAGTATATAAATTGCCCATAAACTATGTTTGGTACATTATTATGCTTTGCAATATTTTTATGATTTTTAATTCAAATAAATATTAAAATTTGAGGATAACCTGATCAAGAAAATAACATTTATTTAGCCAGACAATGCCTGTCATTGAAATTTTGAAATGTTACCTGTCAACCCACACAGTTTGTCATAACATAGTTGACAAAATCACCACCAGGGAATCTTTTGTAATATTAAAAATTGTTTTAATGATTAATATTGGCA